AGCAGCCAGTAGACCTAGGCCAGGGCTCATGGGAAGTGTTGTCAATGCAACCCATTAATGCTGCTCATGACTACAGCAATTACTTTTGCAATTCCTAGATGCACATCTCTTTAGGTTGATGGGAATAGTTGTTGCCCACAATAGGTTTGCTCCATCTTGCTCAACCATGGACCTGGAGAAGTAGAGGACCATGAAAAATGGAGCTTGGCTTACAAACTCATAGAGAGACCTTTCTATTTTTCTGGCACGCTATACTATAGCAGGCTTTCTAGAGTACAACTGTTTTAACTCCATTAAGCTTTTAAACGCTTTTGTCTAGATATTAAACCTGTGGACATCCAGTTTCAAGCTCCTTGCAACTACCAGGGCTAGAAATTTTTTACCAAACTCCTGAACATAGTGAGTTGGTCATATGACTGTTGTGGGTGTGCTTTTGAGGGGGGGTGGTGTTTTGAAGTGACCCCAAGGCTACAAGACTGTGGGGCTGGGAGAAGAGCCTTTGGCTTCTAGTCATAAGCCAGTAGCTTAGTGATGGGTTTTAGGCTAATGTTAACAACTATTTACAGACACCTTGTAATATGTTTAGTGCTGGCTTTTTTTTGTTTTTTTTTTTTTTTTTCTTTGTGGGGATGGCTGGTGTGATCAGCATTATACTCCTTGTTCATATTGGCACCTGCTCTCTGTTAAGGAAAGGTACAGAGGCAAAGTACGGGTCAGTAATTCAGAGCTAAGCTAGGGCAAGAAGTAACCAGTCACTAATTACGTGTTTTGGCGTGCCAAAACGAGTCGCAGTGCTTCTGTTCACAGGCCTTGTCAGGCTCTGCATAACTTGCTGATGTTCCTGCACCCGTTTTACAGACTGGTGAAGAGAAGTGCTCTGTCCCCCTCCCCTTGGTGGTGAGTTTTTAAGCTGTTTCAGTGTTTGTAGAGTGCTTAGGAGAATCTCAGGTTCATGGGACCTGGGAAAGGAGAACAGAAATACTCGAGTATTGCTCTCTCCGTTCCCTTCTGCAGCTGCCCCACCTTCAGATCCTCACCATTGTGGTAGCACCTGGGAGCCCAGATGTCGATTTAAATGCAGGACTGTGCCAAGAACTGTGTAGCTATAATAAAAACATGGTTCTTGCATGTCTTTTTAAAAATTTAAATAAATACAGACCAGGGTCAACAAGTGAATACCCAGATGGCGAGGTGCCAGGAAACAGTGGGCCCACCCAAGGGTACTTTCATCGTCTCCTCCTTGAAGGGCTTGCCCGCAGCCCCCCTCTCTCCTCCCTGCACCAGTAGCATTGCCAGTGGTGCAAGCTGTTCTGTATTCATTGCATGCCCAGCGTTGGCAGCTAAGGGGAAGGGTAGATCCACCTGGCCAGCTGCCTCTTCTCATCTGGCTGTGGCACCTGTTGAAGGTGGGGCTTGTCTTACACAGCCTTCACTTCCCCCAGGAAGGGACTCTGAGGTGGGCTGCTTGGGGCCCAAGGCTATTGCTGTGGGATGGCACCCCTCTTTCCATGGCAAGGATGGCACAAGTCTGCCAGCACAGCCTATTAGACTGAGCCATGCCTGCAGGAAAACTGCAACGGTGGGAGCTGTCAAATTGGTGCGGCTCCCTGGGCCTGTCCTTTCATCCATCCCTGATGACCAACAGTGGCCTTGGCACACATCTCCCGGATACCTTTTTTTATCTTTTAGGGGAAGTGGATTACAAAGCTGAAACGCGGTGGCTGAAAGGTGTGCTGAGAAGCTACCTGAAGAGGCCTTCAAAATCCTCTGTCCTCAGCTTAGTGACTACTTGAGCATTGCTAATACTAACAAATGAACGTGCCTTGTAACTTCACCTGGCATGCCAAATCCTTATAAATGTACTAGGCTATTAGTTTACAGCATATACCCCAGGGACATCTTTTTGTAATGGGATTATACATCACACTTACTCATGCTTCTGTATTTTGCTATGATGCATGTTTAATGCTAGGATCACAGCTTCCCGCTAGATGGCACTCGCTGTCAGTCTTTCTAAACTTCCCCAGACCCAGGAATGACTGCAAGGAAAGAATGCAATTTATTTTTTTTTTTTAACCCTAATATTCCTTTTATAGTTCAAAAAATATATAATGGGCTTTAAATAACAGACTCAAGTCCACTCCAGATTAGAAACATTTTTTTTTTTTTTTTTTAAGCCTGCTCCATCAATCTTCTGTGGTTGTCTCAGGTTAATTCATTACCTCTTGCTAGTGCTGGCTTTGTGACCAATTACCAGGGATTTTAATTTTTTTGAGTTTGAGACTATCTGGCTCCTAGTATGTTAGTGCTAAAAGGCTGTTGTGCTAAAAATCATGTAATGCAGAGTATGGTTGTTGCAAAAAAATTTATGGGGACCATTCAACATCACTTTTTTTTTTTTTTTTTTTTTTTTTTTTTAATGACCTTAGAAGCCATGTACAGTACAAACAGAGCCACTCTTCCACACTGTATTTGCTTTATCCTTGGGTCATACAACTTCTGGGCCCCTGGGGACTGCCCCATGAGCTCCCCCCTGCCACGTGCAGCTCGGCTCACCACCTCCCCTTCCAACCTGCCCACACATGCCATGCAGGCCGCTCAGGTGTCCCTTACTATGCATGTTACCCAAGCAGCCCATGTACAGCACACAAAATGGGCAGCTTGGCCACCTCCTCTGCTGAGCATGCTGTGTCTGCAGCCCAGCTCCCTGCCTTGTGCACAGCGTGGGCAACCCGGCCCCCAGAAGCTGCAAGAGCAATGGGCATAGAGACAGCCAGGTGGGAGTCCATGGGCCATATGCTAACCCATGCAGTTGGACAACCCTGCTTTCTCCTATTACCTGTGAAAGACGGGCACCAAGCAGACCCCCCAAAAAATCAAACTAACCAAAACCCTGTGGTTGTTAAAAATGATGCAACAACTACAACTCTTCCTCCTCCTCCTCCTCCACTGCCCTGAAATTCAGGGACCTTTTCGTTACTTCGTGATCAGGGAAAGCACCGAGTGGCTGCCTTCAATGGTTCTTGTGAAAAGATGCTCTACTTTAGATTTACGCTAGCGTATCCCAATACAAGGCACTGCCTGTTGGCAGCTGAAAATCCTAGTCTGTTTTGCACTCCAAGGTGCTTCAGGAACGTGTGCCTCTTGTATTTGGACACGAGTGACTGTGGCTACAGATGACTTTAATTGCAACAACTCTTCTCCATTTCAAGATTGGGATGGTCAGTGCAGTGCAAGCCCATTTTCAATTTACACACTGAGAATGAATGAAAAGGTGTAAGGTGCCTGGGTCTGCCCAGATCAACACTCCTGTGGTTGCTCGGTGCTGCTCCCCTATGCCTACTCTAACTTTCTTTCCAGGAGAAGCCCAAATAGGCATCTGAACAACTGAGGCTTTGCGTATCCATGCAGGAGGGAATATTACTAGACCCCCCCCCCAGGACCTTGATCTCTGCTTTCTTGTATGACCCTTGGTGAGCTACTGAAACTCTGGCTTCATTTCTGAAGCAGGTTAGAGATTCTTCCTTTGAGGATTGATGGGAGTAAATAACACAGAGCATGCTTTGGCTTCCTTGGATGGAGGTAATCTGTAGCATCAGGTGAATGAAATGAAAACAAGATCTTCATAGGAACTGTCAGGCTGACTCAAGTGGTCTTTGCCCATTCTTGCATTAGCTAGTGCTAAGCCCCTTCATTTTCTGCTTCTACTGTGCTTCAGACCCCTTCTAATACTAGTCCCCGCTGACATTTTTTTTTTCCTCTGAGCAGGTCTTACCTGTTGCTGAATAGGCTTATTAATAGAGTTGTAGTCATTGCATCATTTGGAGACCTATATAACATCTCCAAAATGACAGGAGTACAAAACAACTTTTGCAGTAGTCAATGGACTATTAATAAGCCTAATCAGCAACAGGTAAGTTCTGCTCAGGAAAGTCAGATGCGACTGGTATTAACAGGGGCATCTAAAGCAGAGTGTGTGTCCCGTCCTTCCCATTAGATAAAATTTGCAGACTTCTTTGGAAAGGGGTCTTAGCCTTTGCGTATGGGCTAGGCAAGCTGCGAGCATCTCTACAACATCAACGTCATTTTGCAAAAATTGTCATCATTACAACGTCATTTTGCAAAAAATCTTGTTAGTCTAATAAAAGATGTCACCTCTACTATGAGTCCTGATTGCCTTTCTACAACATCCATGCACTTTGCCTAGTTTCTGGATCTCTGTGGGGCTTAGTTTGGGAGCCAGGTGCTTATCTTCTCAAACCTGGGTTATGCACACAATGCAAGCCCAGGTGCTAACTAACAGGAGTTTTCAGGTCAAATGGCAATGTGACAGATGAGTGGAGGTGTCTCTCTGGGGTTGGGTGATGACTGTGTAGAAGATTTATTTAGGATATAAGCCCTTCAAGTCTGCCCCAGGCCTCTTCAATCTAACCTCTGCATGCTAACCTGATCCTACTGCCTGTGTGGGCTGCTTCCCCTAAAGTACATGTGGATTTTTTTTTTACATGGTAATAAATACTGTTGACAAGAGTCTGCAATTTTAAGGCTATTAAGGAGCTAGCAAGTGGCCAAGCCAGTATGGGCTAGACAAGCCTGGCAGCACCTGAATGTCTGGCTCTTGACAGTGGCAGAGACCGCCAAGCTTGTAAGACTGCCTTTAGTGTTAACTTTCTGGTGGCTGCAACAATCCTTGGGGATCTTGGACTAAAACGCATCTTAGCTGTCATCTTGGCTAGAGAATGAAGGCTCTCCTCTGCATGACCAGTCCAGCACAGACTTCCTCATCGACTAGCCCACACATCTTAATATTTTCTGATGAACCATTTATCCCACTTGAGGAGAGGCCAGGAGGTGAGTTTTGGGACTGAAAAGAACAGGGAAAGCACATTTTGGAGAAATGTCAAAGTCCTCTTGTTAATTCTGCTGCCTCCTAATCTTGCTGCTTATTCCAGTAGGCGCTCATCCCCGCTCCTAATTGTGACCTTTCCGTTCTCTTGCAGTAAAACGATTTAGGGAGCCCAAAGAAGAGAGGCGTCCCTGGATGATATGGTGAGACATTTAACTTTTTTTTTTTTTCCCCAAAGCTCTGAATTAAGATTTTCTTTTTTTGAGACCATCTTGTTCTGTTTATGGTAGCAGGCCTCTAGCTCCTGTTTCTAAATACCGAGCACATGGTTAATGGAGTGATGTTGCCTTTCCCTGTAAAAGTTTCCAAGATGCAACAGATAATCCTGGCTGCTACATAGCATGGCAGGCTAAGAGTGGTGGCCCTGTGTGGTATGATAGTTGAGAAGTCCCTCTAACCATTACTAGTAAACGGTTTGGTTATTAATACTAGACAGCCATGTGCAGCTTCTAAAATGGTTCCCGTTGTAACAAAGCAAACTAGTTTGGGAATGGGACGTGTAGATGGGATTAATATGAGGACACCGGGAGGTTTAGATGACAGATTGAGGGTGGGGGATTTTGACTGGCAAGACTGTCTTGTAGCTGGTACAGAGCTGGCAGCTTGGTTCTGTTCCCCCTGGAAAAACGCCACAAGTATTATCACAGTTGATATGATAATACCTGTCCTGACAGCTCCCTCTCCTTGCTGACATCCTCTGCTAGGAGACTGAGGGCTGAACAGGTCTAAGTAGGCTCCAGAACTGCACTAAAAACTTCTGGTTTACCTCCAGCAAATTGGCAGTCATGTCAGACAGCAGCCCACAAAGCCACATCCACACAAGCGTGGACAGTTCTTAACCTGAGGGCAAGAAGCAGCGGCACACCTTGTCCCCAGATAATGCCTGTGCCATGTGCCCTCTGGCACGTGGCAGGTTACCCTGGGTGGGGTAGCACTGGGCTGGCCCCAGCAGCCTTACCTGGGAGCCTGCTGGGGCTGCAGCAGTGGTGATCCTGCTGCTCGGCCCCTGGCTGGCTGGCAGCCAGAGTGGAGCCAGGCTCTAGTTCTGGGTGGTGTGTGCTGCCCTTACAGGCACTGCATCACTCTGCTCTTTTTTTTTTTTTTTTTACTCTGGGATCTCCTGAGCTTGTGTATTTTCTCTAATGCTGCTACTGAACAGCTCTGTCTCATTGCATCAGGTTTTATGATACCTCCAAGCAAGCCATAGGTGCCCTCTTCATCCATTTTGCCAATGTTTTCCTATCTGATCTTACTGAAGAAGACCCCTGCTCTCTGTAAGTATAGCTGTGTGCGTGCATGCATGTCCTTCTTGTGACAGGAGGAAACTACATCATTTGCAGCAATAGAAGGCATGGCATATGCACAGTGGAAACAGACACCGACTTAAATGATCTTCAATGTGAAATGATAGTGCTACACTTGAGCTGCTAGAGCTAGGTTTTTACCTCCAGTAGTATTGGAAGTGTAAGACTGCACATTAAGTGGTTTCATAGACATTAGGGCTGGAAGGGACCTCAAGATCAAGTCCAACTGCCTGCCCAAAGGGCAGGAAGTCAGCTGGGGTCATAGGATCCCAGCAAGATAAGCATCCAATTTACTCTTGAAGGTGTTCAATGTAGGTGCTTGAACCACCTCCAATGGCAGGCTGTTTCAGACCTTGGGGGCTCGGACAGTAAAGAAATTCTTCCTTGTGTCCAGCCTGAAATGGTCTTGCAGTAGTTTATAACTGTTTGACCTCATCATCCCTTGGGGCGCTCTGGTGAACAAACGTTCCCCCAGATGCTGGTGGTCACCCCTGATAAACTTAGAGGTTGCCACCAGATCACCCCTGAGCCTGCGCTTTTCCAGGCTAAAGAGCCCCAGGGCTCTCAGCCTGTCGTCGTAAGGTCTGTTTTCCTGACCTCTGATCATGCGCGTGGCTCTTCTCTGGACTCTCTCAAGCTTCTCCACATCCGTTTTGAATTGTGGGGCCCAAAACTGGACGCAGTACTCCAGCTGCGGCCTCACCAAGGCCAAGTATAATGGGAGAATGACGTCCCGGGATTTGCTTGAGAAGCATCTATGGATGCAAGCCAGCATTTTGGTTGTTTTACTAGCTGCAGCATCGCGTTGCAGGCTTATGTTTGTCTTGTGGTCAGCGATGACCCCCAAGTCCCTTTCTTCCATAGTGCTAGCCAGTGTAGCACTGCTGAGCCTAGAAGGATGCTGCAGGTTTTTCCTCCCAAGGTGGAGAACCTTGCATTTTTCAGTGTTAAGCACCATCAGATTCTCATCTGCCCATTTGCTGAGCCTGTCCAGGTCAGCCTGGATCGCCCTCCTGTCCTCAGGTGTGGATGCTTTGCCCCAAAGTTTGGTGTCATCGGCGAACTTGGCCAGTCCACTTTTGACTCCAGTGTCCACATCATTAATGAAATGTTGAACAACATGGGTCCAAGGACAGCCTTGGGGGACCCCACTGGTCATAGGGCACCACCATGATTGACTTCTGTCAACCACCACCCTCTGGGTCCGTCCACGGAGCCAATTGCCCGGTTTCCCAGGTGTCTGCACCTGCGCAGTTTGGACAGAGCACTGCTTCCCAAGTACCTTGAGTTTGCAGCTCCTGTTGACTGTGTCATAGACTTGCTGCATAATGCTGCCCAGTCTGCTGCTTTCCTTTACAGGTCCCCAGTTTAGAGGGCAGGTACCTGGAAAACACATGAGGGTCTGCAAACAGCAGAAGGACTAGTCATAGCATTGCTGAACAGAATGGCAATCTGTGTATTTAGACAAAAATATGCACTTCTCTTGCCTGTCTGATTTCTGAAATCCAGATTTGTTCAGATTTGTCTCTCCTTTCAAAGGAAACGTATCTAAAATGCCTTTTTCTACTATGACCTCATAGTCATTAAAGTTTTGGAAGCACCTTTTACTATGAGGGGGGGGGTTCTGCCTCTACCAGCACTAGCTTTGGGTTTACAGTGCTGGAGAAAGACTTTTGGTTAGTTTAAAAAAACCCAAAATAAAAACGAACCCAGTAACTCCTCAAAGTAATTCACTAATTCAAATTTCCTGCTGCTCTTACTTAACGCCCCCCCCCCTTTTTTTAAATTGTACATCTCACTTACAGCTTTGCTGGCTTTAATTTGGTACATTTTGAAGACACACTACTGAAGCTTTTTTTTTTTTTTTAATGGTTGGATCCATATATAACCTATTCCCTTTTTTTTTTATAGGCTTCAACACACAGTCCATGCAGCTTCCTTTTAAAATAGACAAAGCTCAGCTGTATTTTTTTTTTTTTTTTCTTTTCACCTACATAGTTCCCATCTTTTAATTCTGAACAAGGTCCTTCAGCATCACAATGCATCATCTATCTTTCTGGTGGGAGATGGGTCTCAACCCTTCAGAAACACAAGCTCGTGGTATAATTTTGTATGAAAATAACATCCCTCAAAATTGCTCATCTCTGGGAGGGGTGAGAATGGCAGAGATCTCTCCTCTTTCGGGGAATGAATTTGGCCTTGGAGCCATGTCAAAGGTCCTTTTCAATTGATGGTCATACACATTAGGTGGTCACCATAGTAGACCCATCACATGCTTGTATGTGCTGTGGGCTACATAAACTAACAAGACTTAACCAAGCTAGTTCAGTGGAGTGAGTTGAAGGAGACTTGCTAGTTAAGACTCTTATTTCAGCAGGGGCTTTAAGGATACCACAGCTAAAATTTGTGGTAAAATGGGAGTAGAGCTCAGCTGAACATGCATTGTGAAGCATTACAAGGTGTGTTCTCTATTTTTATTTTATTTTTTTTTAGCTATTTAATAAACTTCATCCTTGATGCCACCCTGGGGATGCTGCTGATCTGGCTTGGGGTGAAGGTTGTGTCCTGGTTTGTGGAGCGTCAACAGTACAACTACCTCATCTTTGGAGAGTACGGTAAGTGGAGGACAACTGTTCTTCCCCCTACCCCCAATATGTGGGGTTTTTTCAGATCAATACACAAGATGAGCTTATGCTCACAGTTCATGTTGGAAGGTGCAGGGTAATCGAACCTGGATTAAATGAGTTCAAGAGTTTCTGTAGCAGATAACTAACTTCTCAGAGGCGCCTATCAAAAGTGCTGTGGATTAATGGTCACTAAAAGGCTTTTGAAATCACTTAAGTTGCAAATAGCTCTGCATCCATAAACTCTTCCCAACTCCTCACAAGTAAAACTCTCCCTCACCAACACACTGGCCAGCCCGCCTCTCCAAGTGAATAGGTAAGCTAAGCTTTGCAACCCCTTCCGAAGATCAGCTAACTCCGCCTGCCTCCGTAGCTGGGCTGAAATGTTTCAGGCCAGGATGAGCAACTCAATACCAAATCACTTGCCTCATCCATGTTGGATGGCATACAAGTAGAATCGAGTACAAGAATGCGATTGCCAAACTCGAATACCTTCTGACAGCAAACTTTTAACTTGCCAAGTAATTTCACTTTGTGCTTTCTGATAAAGGTCTGACTTAACTGCTATCCTTTTTTTTTTTTTTTTTTTTTTTGTCTGTCCTCTATTTTGGAACCTGGTTTTCCTCTTCTCATACAGCCCCACTAGAGGGTAGCACTTCTCCTTGTAAAAATAAAGTTAAGCAAATACAGTACTGCCAGTTAGCGAAGTATTTGCCTTCCTGTGTTTGGGGGTGGCTTTTTTTTTTTTTTTGTATTTTAGTCTAAACAGTCACTGAAACCTCCATGGCTCTGTGGTTCGTAGCCAGTCCTGCTGGAAAAGTGACGCTCTCCTTTTCCCACTGCACATACTTACTGTGGGGGCTAACAGACTTACTAGAATTAGCAAGGGAAAATGAGTATTGTGGTTTGTTTTGGTTTTTTTTTAATTCAAAGTAGCTGAGGCTTGCCCCAAAGTGAACTCGATATAAAGAGTTCATTGGTTCAAAAGATAGCATTTTTAGTTTGGTGCTTATTTTCACAGCTTCAGGGTTGTTGGTTGTAGCTGTGTTGGTCTAAGGACATAAGCCTTGTCTGCCTATTTTCATAGCGACCTTCTAGAAGTTCGAAATGGGGAGAAATGACTTCTAGAAGCCAGGTCAGTCTGCCTGATTTGTGCTGGAGCTTTTAAGTGGGTAGCTGGCTAGTCGGGTATCCATGTCCAAGTTGTAGCCATATTGGTCTAGAGACGAAAGGAATCGCAACTTATGGTAGAGGCGATTTTTATTAGACCAGATTTTTGCAAAAAAAAAAAATCTATTTAATTGCAAGCTTCCGGGCACAAGCACCCTTCTTCAGGCATAGGAGAAAAGGTTAACTGGTTAGAGGCACTGGCATGTGTAGGTAGAAAGGATGCAATGTAGAAATGTTTTTCACAGAGAAACCTAGGAAATAAGATGGGGCAACTGGGCAAAACTTCACTCTGTATATGTGAAGGCTTCTACATGTTTAAGATCTGTTAAGACTAGAGTCATTCTATTGATTATTGGCTTGTCATTGCATCAGTACAACACCGCACAGCTTAACTCCCACATTTATTATGGAAACAACAGTTGGAGACTATCCCATATGCATGCCTTAACTATAGAAAGTCTTGTGGACAAGGAAGTCCTGCCTTTATGGGGGATTTGAATGGGTGATGGCAGGGGCCAGTACTGCGGATGTGCTCAGGCAAAGAACTTGATCCCTTCAGGAGAGGGACTTGCCATAGTGGGGACCTAGACCAGATGGCCAGGAGATAGCATCCAGACGTATGTCCCAGTAGCACGGAAGAAGGTACAGCATCCCCCCTTTCTAACAGTTTGTCTGAAGAGGGAAGGGCCTTGAGGAAAAGAAGTTTTAACTTCCTTCCTGATGCAGTAAAGAAACGTCTTCATGAAGCAATGACAGCTTTTGAGACGTGGTTTCAAGCGAGGCAGGCAGGAGGTTGGAGGACCAGAAAGGAAGTGGCTGCAGTTCTTGGGTGGGGAGAGGTGACCCTGGGTGGCTATAGGTGTTGAGCTGGAGGAGGGTGCATAGTGCATGCAAATGGAGGAAGTGCCCATGCTTTACCATGGGTTAGATGGATGTGACGAAGAAGCAGAATGACAGTATCTTTTTATACATGAGTACTTGTTATTTTACACCTTCTCCCATGACTGAAGCTGTATGCAAACTTCTGTTCAGGGCATTTCTATTTGTAATCTTCAGGTGAAGCCCTTGAGGCTGGCATGGCGGTTTGATTAGTAGAGAATAAATCCGTCTATTACAAACTCTGCCCCAAAGTGACCAGAATTACTATAAATTCCCATGTGCACAGCTGGTTAACAGTAGCAACACCAGGATGTCATTGCCTTCCTTTTGACCCTGCCAGTGAGATTTTGGGTACATCCCTTCGTCTCTACCAAATGTTGCCGTATCATGCCCATCCCTTAGTGAGAACTTGACTTAAATGGGAATTGGGATTTGAGTGGATATTCATGACTGTCCTGGAAATCTTGGCACAGCATGGTTTCAAACCTGGAAGCATTCAGTTTTGAAACGCCTCTAAACTTCTCTTGTGCTGAGAAACTTATACTTAAACCAGCCTTCTGGATAGCATGAGAGGGCAAGTGATGGATGATGCCATTTTAATCTGCAAGGTTAATTAACACTTTGTCACTAGAAGTGAATGCTTCCCTGTGTCTCTGTTCACCTGCGGCAGTGGAAGCTGTGCTTTTAGTATTAAGCCTAGCTGCAATATGTCACACTCTTCCAAAGAAGGGAGAAAGGCCAATTGGCTGGCTAAAGAAATGATTTAAATGCTCTTTTTGTCTGGCTTGAACAGTTGTTATTTTTGTTGACTTGCATGCTCTGCCTTTCTTTGCTCCTCCGTTATTCCTTGGAAATGACCTGTTTGGGGAAATACAAGGTTCTTAAGACCCAACTTTTACAAAGCCCTGGCTGGGATGATCTAGTTAGGGCTGGTCCTGCTTTGGGCAGGGGGTTGGACTAGATGTGACCTCCTGAGGTCCCTTCCAACCCTCATTTTCTGTGATTTTTATGGCTAAATCACTTGGGTGGGCAGGGGAACCCAAGTCTCTAAACTCCTGTAGTTCAGTTAATAAAGGCAGGAACCCAGTTGATATTCGGACCCTAAAGGTGGGTTCCTTTTAAATCCTAAAAATGTGACTTGGGACACTTAGAGCTAGATCTGGTTAAAGTTTTGATGTTTTGAAACTCCTTGAGGAAAGTGGGCAAATGCTGAAGGGAGCGTTGCTGTGCCAGGCTGCAGCCTGGATCCATTAGCCAGCCAGCAATGAGCCACCTGCATAAGGGGCTTCAGCTGGCAGGCAGTTGGCTGTAATGGAGGGAAGTGTCTGGCTAATTGGGAATAAAAGAACAGGAAGAAGTCAATGGGGGGAGTTAGAGGTGGGGAAATGGTTGGATGGGCTGGGAGGTCTCCTCCTCGAAGGAAGACTACAGGGGGGAGAGATGACCCATCCCAGGCGTGCTAATTTTGGATTGTTTGACCTTTGCAACTGAACCCGTTGCAGATCAACCCTGGGGTTTTGAAGCCTGTGTTTTTGGGACCAGGCTAAGGGCATGTTCATTTGGATTGTTACTTGCTTTCAGCTGTGCCCTGGGAAGCAAAGGAACCAGGGGCATTGCAGCCTGTGGTTTTTTTGGGCCCAGAAAAAGACTGTTGCTGGGACCAGGGACTAATTTAAGCTGGCCACCCACTACAATTGCCTGGGTGTCTTGCACTTTTTTGTGTCGGGAGTTTGCGAGTAATTCAATGTTCGGAGCACCTCTAGGTAGGTTTGGATACAAATCCAGAGCATTGTCTGCAGTGAGAAACATGCAAGCAAAGGATTAGGAAAAGGGAACAACCAAAGTGTGTAGTGATCAAAGTGCAGCCTAATGCATTGCTTGTCAGGTTCACTTGAAAATATTTGTTTTAAACCCCTCCTTTCTCCTCCCCTTCTCCTGGAAGGATGAGGGACAGAGTCTTTTTTTATTAAACGCATTGGGGATACAAGCCTGTGGCTCCAGTGATTCTTCTGTACAAATCGAATAGGATGCTTCCATTAAATCCCTGGCTGGATATACAGAAGCAAGCTGGTTGGGTTGGGTTTTTCTTTTTAAACACTGTTTAGCAACCTACTGAACTTGGCCTGTCTAACTGAGTTGTAGGAGAACATGCTCCATGCCAGCTCCTGGGTTTAACTGCGGACCGGTGGGGGATGCATTTTGGCCCCGTGATACGATTAGACAACATTTCCATAACAAATGTTCCCACATCCAGGGGCAGTCGGGAAGTTGTCTGCTAGTGCTTAAGCAACATGTCTTAAGTGACCCGAGTGCCTGCCTTTCCTCTGTGCAAGGAGAGAAATACTCCTCGGTGCTCATCAGTTTTCACAACCTTGCTTTTTGTGCTGGTGTCTTGACTTGAACTAGGCATGCGTGAATTTTGTGTTCGTGGGTGGTGGATGCCTAAATATAAATGCCTCTAAGGAGTAAAAGCACTGGAGAATGGGCATCATTTTAACTTTTTAACTAGAGCAACAGTTCTCAACCAGGGTGCTGTGGCATCCTGGGTTGCCTTGATCATTTCAGGGGTGCTGCAGGGTACCATACAATGCTAGCACTGTTAAGTCTGTAAGCATTATTCACAAGATTAAACCCAGAGATTTCCTATAGGAAGCCATAGCGTTAGACAGACCACAACAGGGCAGAATGTTTTTGGGTTGTTTGCAACAGAAGAATTGCTCTGTTATCTTTCTGTAGGTGAAAACTGAGTGAACTAAAAGCTGGGCACTTTCAGAAAGATGGCTTGAATCTAACAAAGTTGAAAACCACTGAACTAAAGGGACTAATGATTTCAGTTGTAAATGCAAGTTTGCATTTGGTAGGTAGGTATTTGGACTGGAAGGGGATCTCTTGAGCCATAGGCTTGTCCAGCTCTTCCAAATGGGTGTCCGTTTATATGCTGG